CATTCCATAGATTGGGCTCCCCAGAGAGGTCCGCCTGGCGCCGTCGTTATTTGTTTTTTGGCACCAGGTGAAGACCTTTTTATTTAAACGTCATTTTAATTGTTAACAATATTTACTTATTTATCAGGCCCGGGTGACTTCTTTTCTTTTCTTTTATAACTTTTCTAACTTCTTTTATATCGTTTATATTTTTTTATTTATTTTATATTATTAATTTTAATTTTATATTGTTATTTTTGTATTGTATTTTATTGTGTTGTAAGCTGCCCCGAGGCTTCAGCAAGGGGTGGCATAGAAATATTCTAATAATAATAATAATAATAATAATAATAATATAATACATCATTGTCCTGAGGCCTGAGCTGAATACAAAGGAACATCTCATGATCAAAAGCAAAGTTACCACGTGATTTGTGTGTTTAGAGTGAGTCTCTGGATTTTTTCTAACAGGATAGTTTTTTCAGTAGTGGCCCCAGGGGATTCAATGCACCCCCTAGAGAGGCTCAGCTGGCTATTTACTTTGTGACCTTTGGTTCTATATGAAGATTTGTGTCTTTCTTTCAGTATCAAAGCCCTTCAGTATTTGCTACTTATGCTACATGTGATGGTACTTTTAGAGCTTTAGAATTGTGGCATTTAGTTGTGATGCCAAAGTATTGAATGTTTTACATTTTTCATCGTGCTATGTTTTTGTCCTTGTAACTGTTTTGAACTATCTAGACAGTTTTGTGTATAGGCTTGCTTCAATAAAGGATATATATAAAAATCTGGAAAGCACTGCCATTTCTCCATTGTCAACAGGCTCCTTTTATTCCAACTTTCCAAGCTCCAGCTTACCCCCCCCCCAGTGCATCAGTGACTCCCCCTTCCCCCCCATCCAGTGTTAAAGAGCAGGTGTGAGTTGGTGCATTTGCTGCCCTTGCACAGAATCCAAGCTGGTGCCAGCAGCTTTGCAGAAACTTCCCCCCTCCCTGCACTGCTGGAGCTTCACCTTGCATAGGAAGCAGCAGCAATGTGGCTTCTACTCCCACAATTATGGCAATCACAGTGATTCCTGCCACTTCTCGCCAAACTTCGAGGGATTTCCCAAGTCACCTTTCCGTTCTGGATTGTCAACAGCAGCATCTCATGTTGCATGGAAAACATGTTCATGGAGGCTGCAGAAGTCCAGGCAACGGTATTTCCAAGACTTCCACCATTCCCCCGAAGGCTTGGGCTGATCCTTGGGTGAGCTCAGTGCATCAGGAGGGCTCTGCAGTGGGGAGGCTTCCATCCGTTTCTTTTATTGCAGAAGCCATGCCTTGCTGCCAGTGCTTCAGAGACACCCCCCATCCAGTCCCAAAGAGAAGGTAGGAGTTGGCTGATCATTTACTAATTCTGTACCTCCAGGAATGCTGGAAACACAGGGAAAATTCCCATCACATGCTGGTCTCAAACCATAATCAAATTCATTAATGGCTGCAGCATAAGGAAAGGGGTTGACCTGCCCAGCCCCCCAATTTAACCATGGCTGCCTCATGTCCTTTGCATGCTGATGAGGATTCTGTCCCCTAGGAACTTGCATAATTCCAGTCCCACAAATGGCTTCCTGCAGCACTGTCAAAGCTGAATTCCTGGAATTGGAGACAGACACAGGAGAGAATGGAAATCATGTGTTCACCTCTTCTGATTGACATCACAGCAAGATCGGCAGTGAAGAATGGGAGTTCTGTACTTAGTGCCAAAATCTGTTTCAAGTGGGCCTTGGGAGGCCCATCCAAGCCCTGTCAGGCCAGAGATTAGAAGTCCGAACAGACTTCAGGTTTGTGGGGGCAGTGGCCCCCTACCTGCCAGGAGAAGCTAGTGGATTCTCAGTGAACAAAATGAGAGGGGTGCTCCCCCTCACTAGCTGTCAGAACTGGCTAAAAGCAAAGAAAGAAAACTTTAAAATGGACATTGGACCTGCTGGGTGAGCAAATATTCTCCTTAAAATATTGCCCTCAAAAGAACTTTTGAAACAAGCACCAATTTAAATAAAAAGCCATTTTCAACAGAGGAGGGAAACCCCCCCTGTGGAGTTTAAGCGGTGACAAACCTAGGGCAGATTAAGTGAAACTGGGGAAAATTGAGACTTGGAAAAGAGACTCTTTCTGTTTAATCTCCCCAAGGGCAAAGAATCAAATTTGACCTAATGTATATTGATCGATAGAAAAAAAAAAATCTCTGTTTTGTTTCCGTATGTCTCATTCAGAGATGACATGCAATTTGATAATTTCTGAAGTTTGTGCATGAAAGTGAAACTATTCCATTTGTTATAACAACAAATAACTCTTTGCTGCCACCCTGTAGCTACTTTATCTTACAACAGGTACCTTGACTACCTAATTTTTTCTGTGACTTTCTGCTCCCACCTTCTGGCCACTTTCTGTTAAAACAGGCTGTTCTAATAAATTGTTCAAATAAATTCTTTATCTTCATCATAAAAAAAAATCATGCATCATCATTGGCACCCACACCCACGACGCTAAGCCCAACACATCAAGCAAAAACTGTGGATCTGGAAAAATATCAAAAAAGACACAGATAGCACTCTCGGCAATGCAAGCATCTATCCAAGAATCTATTCAAAATGCCATTCAAAAATTGGCCTCAGAACAAACTGAAAGACTGGATAAACTGGATAGTCATGTTTTGGGCATGAATAATCAACTTACAGATATTTGACTCAAAATAGTACAAAATGAACAAAAAATACAAGGAATGGAAAAGAAGACTGATGATATTGATGAGAAAACTGAAAAGATGGATAAAGAGATGCAACAATTAATACAAACAAATAAGTCAGAATGGGATTCAGTTGCTATACTGGAGAAGGTGTCTAATTACCTATGATTTCATAATATACCAGAGGCAAAAATGTAAACTTAAGTGACTTAATGAACACTATGTTAGCAGACACTCCTGGCTTGGAAAGGGAAGAAATTGATAAAGAGATTGACCTGGTTTATAGAGTCAATTGAAACTATGTAAGAAGGCATAAACTCCTGAGGGAAGTTCATGCTAAATTTACAAAAAGATTTGTAAGAGATCATGTCCTCAGAGCTTCACGTCATAAACCATTAAAATTTGAGGATGTACATGATGTAACTGTTTTGAAATAAATACCATGGAAAATCAGAGAAGGATAGAAGAAGTATCAATTTCTCACTTCCAAGTTGATGATGAAAGGAATTATGTTTAGATGGATAACACCAGAAGGGATATTTTTTACTTGGAATTCCACAGGATTCAGACAGGATTCAATCTTCAAAGCCCAATAATTTTATGAAAAATTTAGAAGTTCATTTGAAGACAAAGAGCGGACTGAAGAAAAGGAAAGAAGGAAAAATGGTGAGGCAATGGATGTACCATCTTACCACCCAGAAGAAGGAGAAATAGTAGACCAAGAAGGGGATGAACAGTCATAGAGCCAAAAGAAAAAAGGTAGAAGCGTGAAACCTAAATACAAAAT